TTTTAAGTTTATTTGAATGTTACATGGTTATTGGTTCCAGACAGGCTGATCTGAGTATTTCAGAAACTGCTGATCTACTGGAATTTTCACGCACAACCATCTCTAGGGTTTACAGAGAATGGTCAGAAAAAGAGATAATACAACAGCAGAAGATCACACCTGGTGCCACTCTTGTCAGCTAAGAACAGGAAGCTGAGGCTAAAATTCGTACAGGTTTACCAAAATTAGACAATATAAAAGATTGGAAAAACGTTGTCTACTCTGATGAGTCTTGATTTCTGCTCCGACATTCCGGTGTAATGGTGTGAGGGATATTTTCTTGGCACACTTTGGGCCCATTAGGACCAATTGAGCATCGTGTCAATGCCACAGCCTACCTGAGTATTGTTGCTGACCACGTCCATCCCTTTATGACCACAGTGTACCAATCTTCTGATGGCTACTTCAAGCAGGTAATACATCATGTAATGAAGTACAAATCATCTCAGACTGGATTCTTAAACATGACATTGAGTTCACTGTACTCAAATGGCCTCCACAGTCACCAGATCTTAATCCAATAGAGCACCTTTGGGATGTGGGGGAATGGGAGATTCGCATCATGGATGTGCAGTCGACAAATCTGCAGCAACTGTGTGATGCTATCATGTCAATATGGACCAAAATCTCTGAGTAATATTTCCAGGATTAAGGCAGTTCTGAAGGCAAAAGTGGGTCTAATCCGGTACTAGTACGGTGTACCTATTAAAGTGACCAGTGAGTGTATTTTGATGTATTACTTGTACTCTATTGTATTTATTTAGTCTAAAAAACACTGTGAATTGTAGGTATTGGTACATGTTTAGACTTTTGCCAAAATGTAGACAGAAGCATGCCTTTCCAACAAACCAATAGTTTATATCTTAAAGCACGAAATGTACATATCACTGTTGGATGTTAAAATCAAAAAAACTCACAGTTGGTTGATAGTTTAATCTGGCCTGTTAGCCATCTGTACCAATCTGATCCTAAGAGAACTAAAACAAGGCCAGAGAATCTAAATATAGCTCTTGCCTTTCGCAGTATTATTAGGCTTGACCGATGAATGGCTGTAGCATTTTGTAAATATTTTTTTGGGCTTTATGCCCTTTACAAATACACAACCTAAACCATTCATATCCCTCATGGGGTAATTCACAGCAAAATAACATGTTGACAGTTCTAAAAGCAATCCGTGTTTTGTAATGTTTGCGTACATGTTATATTTTGAGATTACATTGGGGAACGTCTTGAAACCGTCTGTGTCGGGAACTCAGCTTGAAGGTAAATAATCAGCGTGTTGTTTTTGGACATTGTGATTCTTTCTTTACACCCCAGACTGCTGGAACATTCTGACATATGAGCAACCTTGGATGTGTTATTATGATCCTGCGCTTTAATAGCTGAACATTCTTGAAGGAGATCCTGAGAGATTGCTCTGCTTTTCTGCTACATGTGAAATTTTACCTCCTGGCAAGATTCAGCCACGACATGAGAGAAAGTGCATGAGGTGATGTGATAAAAAAAAATAAATAAAAATAAACACCTGGGGACATGAGCGGATCCTGCATGGTATACATTCAATGCCAAACAGGCTGGAAGTGGGAAGGCTGCTGTTTGGCGTCACTCAGTGGCGTTGGCTATTTTTAGCACACTGAATGTCTATTTATAGCGTAAGGTCATCTAGGTCACGTTCGCCAGTGTCATCTCACTATAAACAGGAGATGGCTTGCTAAAAGGGATTGTGGGTAATCTTTTCTGTCTCACTAAATGTGAAACTGTTTCAGCCTGGTTATTATCCCAGGGGACGGGATTATGATTCTCTAAAACAGTTTGGCCTGAAAAAACAACAACAAAAAGATCATGAATGTGGTTAAGCTCTAACTTGCTTTCTCAATGTCAGTCTATCTTCTAGTCTATTAATTGCCGGACAAACAGAGTGTGCTTATGTCTGCTGAATAAAATCAGTCATGCGACTCAGAAGGGAGAAACGATATTTAATCATCAGTCCAAATGTTTAAATCCCCACTGCTGTATTCATGATTGCACAAACACATTTTAAATATATGACATTACAATAATAACAAATGACAGAAATACATATTGTAGAAAGATATTTTTGAAGGCCTCATGAATCTGTCCACTCGGCAACAATGTACTAAAAACAAAATGGTTCAGAATTTTTGAGAAGTGTTGGTAAATGTTGCAAACAAGGCTCATTAGGGATATGTACCCAGGTCTATATTTCTGGGATCCACTAAATATGTACCCAGAGCTACATCTGCTTGCAGTTTTTAGTTTTTTAAAATCCACTAGCAGGTGCTGTGTACATTTGTTATGATCTCAAATTTCTCTTGTACATGGCATTTGTGCGTCCTCTACTTGCGTGAACTTGCCAGATTCTGCAATATACATTTCAGCCAATCAGCTTGCACTTCAGCCAATCTGACAGACTGACCCACCCACCCCTTCACTAAACTCAACCGATAGTGCTTTCAAAAGCAATCTAAAAAAAAAAAGAAAAGATATCCCAGCCACATGATTTTTAGATCTTACTACATTTTGAGCCTGTTATTTATTACTATTATTACATTTTGCTTTGGTTTTACCTTGTTTCTGAAACCGTTCTTTACCAGCATTACATATATATATATATATATATATATATAGTTTATATTGGTTACATGAGGATACTGATTAATCACTCTCTCTTTTAGGTTTTTTAGTCCTTGTGTATGAGATTTAAGGTTTGAGAAAGTGTCAGACTTGACGTCATTCTCTGTGGTTTTTAATGATACACGACTCGCATTGACAGGTGAAAATTCGATCTATCTGCTTACACTGCAGACACGAAAACACAGATCCGATTCGTATCGGAAAAATTTCCACGTATAAACAAGGACTGACTCTGATTTGAGTAAATCAGAATCCATGTGATTTGTTCCTGCTTACACGTACATGGGCCATATCTAATCTGTTCCACATGGTAGAAAAAATTAAGTAACTTAAACCATTTAGTGTAAATGCAGCCTATGTGTGTAAGCGAACAAACTAAAGGCAGGCATACGCAGTGTAAATCATCATGTCGGAAGACAGTATGTCCACATGTCATTAGTGAATTTATGGTAAAATCATTCAAATGCCATGACATATGACATGATTTTATGACCATGCGAATTTCAAAGCAATCACATAATATTTGAAAACATGGACAGAGAAAAGCATTGCTTTCAGAGCCTCCCTTTCTTTCTCCTTTTCTTTTTTCAATCTTTTAAAATGTATATATTTCTTATAGACCATAATATTCTATACTTGCAAAATGATTATGTGACTACAAAGCATAAAAAACAAATAAACAACACATAACTACCACAAGCCGACAGAGGTGTTGAATGCCTCACACTTGCATGTCTACTAAACATACAGTGCATCCGGAAAAGTATTCATAGTGCTTCACTTTTTCCACATTTTTTTTTTGTGTCACAGCCTGAATGGATTAAATTAGTTTATTTACTCAAAATTCTACACACAGTACCCCATAATAAAAAATGGAAAAATAGTTTTTGAAATTGTTGCAAATTTATTAAAAATAAAAAACCTGAAAAATCACATGTACATAAGCATCAAAACCTTTGCATAATACTTGGCAGCAATTACAGCCTCAAGTCTTTTTGAATATGATGCCACAAGCTTGACACACCTGTTTTGAGGAATTTTTGCCCATCCCTCTTTGCAGAACCTCTCAAGTTCTATCGGGTTGGATAGAAAAGTGATGGTGTAAAGCTATTTTCAGATCTCTCCAGAGATGTTCAATAGGATTTAAATCTGGACTCAGGCTGGGCCACTCAAGGGCATTGACTGAGTTGTTGTGAAGCGCCACACCATTGATATTTTGGCGCTGTGCTGGGTCATTGTCCTGCTGGAAGATGAACCGTTGCCCCAGTCTGAGGTCAAGAGCACTCTGAAGCAGCTTTTCATTCATGATGTCTCTATACATTTACTAAATTTATCTATCCCTCTAACCTGACTAGTCTTCCAGTTCCTGCTGCTGAATAACCTCCCCACAGCATGGTGGTCCATGCTTCACTGTAGGAATGGTATTAGCCTGGTGTTGAGCAGTGCCTGGTTTTCTCCAAAAGTAACACCTGGCTTTCACTGCAAAGAGCTCCATTTTAGTCTCATCAGAGCAGAGAATTTTGTTTCAGATGCCTTTTGGCAAATTCCAGGTGGGCTGCTATGTGCCCTTTAATAAGAAGTGTCTTCCGCCTGGTCACTCTACCATACAGGCCTGATTGGTGTATTGCTGCACAGATGGTCGTCCTTCTGTAAAGTTTTTCTCTCTCCACAGAAGAATGCTGGAGCTCAGACAGAGTGACCATCAAGTTATTGATCACCTCCCTGACTAAGGGCCTTCTTCCTCGATCACTCAGCTTAGATGGCCAGCCAGCTCTAAGAAGAGTTCTGGTGGTTCCAAACATCTTCCACATCTGGATGATGGAGGCCACTGTGCTCATTGGAACTTTCAGAGGAGCAGAATCAGAGTTCAGAGTAAGCTTCCTCAGCCTTGTGCCTTGAGACAATCCTGTGCCAAAGGTCTACAGACAATTCCTTTGTCTTATGCTTGGTTTGTGCTTTGACATGCACTGTCAACCCTGGGACCTTATACAGAATATGCCTTTTCAAATCAGGTCCAATTAACTGAATTTACCACAAGTGAACTCCAAAAAGCTGCTGAAACATCTCAAGAATGATCAGTGGAAACAGAATGTAAATGAACTCAATTTAGAGCTTCACGGTAAAGGCTGTGATTTTTCAGGTTTCTTATTTTTAATAAATTTGCACAGTTTCAAAAATTTTTTTTTCACATTGTCATTATGGGGTGTTGTGTGTCGAATTTTAAGGAAATAAATTAATTTAATCCATTTTGGAATAAGGCTGTTACATAAAAATGTGAAAAAAGTAAAGTGCTATAAATACTTCCCAGATGCACTGTATGCCTGCTGAAACCTAACATTTAAGCAGAAAAAAAAATCCATCAATTGATTCAATTAACAAATGACCCAGTAGTCTCCAAAGACCTCCATAACTACAGAGACACATTGAGCGGCACCCGTTCCTGGCAGTCTTTGTTTGGTGGTGTTGCATTCTGGTAGGAGAGTCTCACGAATATAACAATCAGTATAACACCTGTAAACAAGAACATCAAATGTGATTGCAGGAAGCGCAAATCGTGTTACCCTCTTCTGTTTGCGATCACCTCAGGATGTACTGAATGAGTGTGCACACGTCTCACCTATAACTCCCAGCGTTCCTAGCAGGATGCCCACTGTTGACTGAATGGTGGGCATGCCCTCCAGCTGTTTTGGTGCTGTTCTGCAGTTCCCCCTCACGTTGCATGGGCAAACCGTCACTGTGAGAGAGACAATGACCACTGAGCTTGTTTTTTTAACTGAATTAGACGGGCAATGGCTGCACATGGGGAAATTGGACATATGGAGCACTAGGTGAAGATGATTGCATGGGTGAGGTCTTAGGGGAGGCTGGCAGGAAACTCAGACAAGATGAGAGAGAGAGAGAGAGAGAGAGAGAGAGAGAGATACCATGCACCTGTGGCTGTGCTATGCATCACAGGAGACTGTGTGAACAGAATGTTTCAGGAGAGAAGCTATTAAACCAATGGATGTGGGTGCATGAACAAGCGGAGACAAAAATGAACAGCATTAGCATACAGATTTTGTAACTGGTGATTTTGTAAGGTCAAGGTAATTACTTTGGTATTTTTGCTGTAATTAAGACAACACTGCTTGTTTTGGAGTTTAAACTTTGAATGACCTACTAATATTACAGCCTTAAAAATTAATACAGTAAACTGATTAAAAGCATAATTTCATCAAATTATTCTGTTCATATATATATATATATATATATATATATATATATATATATATATATATATATATATATATATATATATATATATATATATATATATAATGTGGCGCCACATACAATACAATATAAATTTATTTTTTATTGGGTATTGGGTAGGATTAGGGATGTAGAATGAGATCATACTTTATAACTACTAATATACAATTAATATCTTAATAATAGGCAAGTAATAAGACAGTAGTAAACAGCATGAATTGTGACCTAAACTAAAGTGTTAACCATTTTTCATTATGTAATTTGTAAGCAGTAACGATACAATAAATTTGGTAAGTAATAATCACTATCAGCAACATATAATATCTAATACAGGTATGTGCCCAAAAATTAGAATATCGAGGGAAAGTCTATTTATTTCAACCTTGGCTCATTCTGAAAACGTGCCTCTATATATGTTTCTGGAGGGTGCGAAATACGTCCCAGGAGGTGCGTATTTTTGCAGTTTTTGTTTTCGCGAATCCACGAGAGGCCGCTGTGTATGCTTTTTCATATCTCATATTTCTCTCGCGAGTGCTATTCGAGCCTGCTGTTTTCACGTAAACCCACCAAAGGTTGCTGTTGACTGACTGAATGACTGACTGACAGACTGGCTGGCTGACCGACCGACCAACCGACTGACCCACTCTCCTCCTTCCCTAAACCCAACCAATTTTATGGATTGACCCGCCCAATCACTTCTCTAAACCCAATTAATGATTTCAAAAGTAGCAGAAAAAGAAAAGACCTCGTCTGATTTTCACCACATTTTCAGATTTTACCACATTCTCACCCTGTTAATTACTTGTTTATTTTATTTTTTTAGTTTTTTTTTTTTTTTTTTTGTATTACCTGCTTTCTGGAACTGTTCTTCCCTGATATCAACCCCCTTTCTCATGGTCAACTTCTTTCTGCGTCCCAAGCCTGCTGTCTTTCATGACGAGCTAACTGGACAAACTGGTTGCAGCGGGAAAGTCGTCCACACTGAGGTAAGTGGACAGCTGGTAAGCGCGAAAAGGAACAGCTTTATACCGCCGTAGCGTTTGTTTAAAAAATGAAATGCAGCCATACGTACTCCTGACTACATAATTCGCGTTCTCCAGAAATGTATACAGGACTACGTTTTCAGAATGAGCCTGTGTTGATTTATTTTAATAATTTGTGACATACTGTGAAAATTTTCTTGCTCTGTTAAACATCATCTGGGAAATATTTAAAAAAGAAAAAAATGTTCAAAGGGGGGCTAATAATTCTGACCAACTACACCTGTGTAATATATAACATATACTATAATATTCCATTCAGATTTTTTTTTTTTGGTCCCACTTTATATTAAGTGGCCTTAACTAATATGTAACTACACAGGAATTAATAGTTTATTACAATGTACTTATTGTATAAACACATGTATTTACTGTGTTATGCTTGATTAAATACATGTATGTAATTACATCTGTAATTACCTTTTGTAATTACATTTGTAAATACACTGTTGACCACCCCTTACACCTTAACCCACCCTTAAACCTACTCATACCACCAAACCTGTCCATAACCCAACCTCTATCCCAACTCAAACACATTATAAACACAGTAAGTAAACTGTATTTATTTATTTTTTGATGTAAGTACATAGTAGTTAAGGATACTTAATATAAAGTGGGACCTTTTTTTAAACTAAATTTAAATTGATAGGAAAAAAAAGCATGTCTTGAGATACTAACAACTTCACATCAGTAAGCTGAGAACAATTGTATCATTTTAGATAATGAGTGGGTACATTAGAGCTAAATTGTTTAATATAAAACAGCCTAAACAGCCACTGAGACAGTTTTTACATTTCTAATAATGCGTGACTATGCTTGTTTAAATGACGTGACTCTGCTTGTTTTGCCATTGACATGTGGCTGAATTGCGTTTTTATGTGTCGGTGGAACATATTGAGAGATCTAAAATTAAACACACCATTTGTGACCTCCGGTGAATATTACGGTCTCCAGTGAGCCAATTTCACATTGTGTTCAGACAGCTTATAAATACAGCGTATGATTGTAATCAAATGACGTGCATGGTTTCTTTCTTTACGCATGCATGCCCTCTTTTCCTTCATTCAGCTCTAGGTTAATGTGCGTTTGTTACCTGGCAGATTGATGAACGTGCTTCTAGGAGGAGAGCTGCTGTCTGAGATGGTAAAAGGTACGATGTAAACCTCTGGCGGCAGATATGGCACATTCAAAGACAGGTTGGTGTGGGTGTCTGTTGAAACAATGAAAACCCAGCTGACATTTCTTTGAAGGATTACACATAAAGAACAATGTTATTGCACAGGTGCTTGACACAGGGCGCATCTCAGTCTGCTCCCAAGCTCCAAAGGTTGTGAATCAGCATGTCGTGAACACAAATTTGGGCTTTGGTAAGGACAGCTAGGACCTTGGATATGAGACATTAATAGTGAAATGAGATGTCCTCTTTGTACAATATCACATTAGGATACTAAATGTAATTTAAACTACATCATAGCTAAAAACATTGATTGTTTTATTTAAGCGTTTAAATACCTTAACACAATGCGTGAATTTTATACGTAGACGAGCAGGGGGTCAACTTTTCTGATTATTTACTGTAATACATGCTTCAGTCGTTTATTTATTTATTGTTAATTAGATGTAGTTTAGGACATCACGGTGGTGCAGTGAGTAGCACGATCGCCTCACAGCAAGAAGGTCACTGGTTTGATCTGGTAGAGTCTGCATGTTCTCCCTGTGTTTGCACGGGTTTCCTCTGGGTGCTCCGGTTTCCCCCACAGTCCAAAGACGTGGTATAGGTGAATTGGGTAAGCTTGTGTGTGTGTGTGTGTGTAAATGAGCATGTATGGGTGTTTCCCAGTGATGGGTTGCAGCTGGAAGGGCATCTGCTGCGTAAAACATATGCATGGATAAGTTGGCAGGTCATTCTGCTGTGGTGACCCCAGAATAATAAAGGAACTAAGCCAAGAAGAAAATGAATGAATAGATTTAGTTTATTAATAGAACATATTTAAGTTTTTTGAGGGATATTTTATGTATTCAGTATCCTCTGATTAGCTCTTTTAGCTGTTTCCATAGGTCAGACTATACAAACTTCATCTAATTTGACCTTACACAAGACTTGAGAGTCTTATGAACACTTTTGATGTTTCAGACTGTTGAATTATTTTTTTTTTGCATAGACTGATTGGTGTGATTTTGCATTTACAATGGTTTGAACCATAATAGGGGTGGTCAAATGTATATTTATATAGTCTATTTTTTATGATTAACATTATTGTTTAAAAACAGATCAGAGTGAACTATTTGTCAGTATTAAAGGGCTAACCCCCCCATACATCATATTTTGACACCGTCAATCACCCCCAAACCCCCCTGTAATATGCACCATTCCTTTACACCATAAACATTTCAGACATTAATCAATAACATTTGGATTCTGAATTGTTCTGTGTCAAAGACTCTAGCATACACAAGATGTGCGACTCGTATAGTTTGAGTGGGGAAACATGTACTGATCAATATGGCAAATGAAGCCCCGCCTACTATACAGGAGCTAATCATTGCATGCTATAGACTGACGTTTTTCTTTAGGGGACGTGTGTTTTTAAAATAGTTTGGTGGTCAACAAATGTGCTGAAATATTAGCAATATGTCCACATAAAGCCTGAAATCTGTACTCTCTAATGAACCAACTGTACTTGAAAAAAAACTTTTTTTGGTTTTGTAATCTGTCCGCCCTATCATAAGCACATGACATGACAGCAATTGCTATAACACCCACAAACTTCACTGTCAAACTGAGGAGGAGATTAGTCATCAAGACCAAGTTGTGAATTTCTTCAGAGGATTATCCAGTCTATCCAAAGGATGATATTATTTGGAATGCCATGAATGAGGTTGGTGTCGTGATCTCGTTCCTTTTGAGTGCGCATGCGCATTAGCCTGGGCAACATAAAAAAAATTGCAGATTTTGTTTGATTTGGTCTTTTAGAAACTAAACTTAAGAGCCAGTTGTTGTTGTTTTTGCTGATTTGAAATATGTGATGTAATCCTAAACTTGCCAAGCAGTTTTGGAGAATTAGATGTTTCCCTATTCAGACAGAATGCCCAAATCTACTGCTCGAGTGGCATTTCAGAGATGGCCACCAGGTGAAATGACTTTGCCTTTAAGGAATTTTATCTGTGTCTTGCTTTGAATGTTTATGCTTAAATAAAATGTATTAAAAGTGCACTAACAATATCAAAAAACACTTTTGACCAGTGTTGAAAAACCACCTTAAAGCCAATCAGCAGTAAAGGGGCAGTATAGGTCTTCTACCTACAGCAACAGTATCAATAAAAAGTAGTGTGGTCTTGTTGGGTTATGACAGTGTTTGTTTTCGGCGCTTTCAGCAAAGCTTTAATGATTTTTTGTTGTTGTTTTTACATTAATCAAAGAATAATTATTATAGATTATGTTAGCTGAATTGGCACACTTTTGCATTGAACAATAGTAACCATAAAGACCATAGTAAACATTAAGTCTCCCTGCTTTTCACAGTGCAATGTGGGACTTTTCATGGAGCAAAGGTTTCAGTGAACAGGAAGAATAACATAATAGAGACAGTCCTTAAACTATACGCTCTCAAAGAATATTAGCAACATTAGTAATATGCTAGGATGTCAGAAAGCAACACTCTAATAAACATTCTAATAAACATAATCATTTAAAAAAATGCTAGAAACAGACCAGCTATTGTGTAGTCCTAATGACATGATACTGATATTATCTACAGTGTCAAATTAGCCTAATTACTCTATATGTGCTAAAATGACACATCTTTTTAAGATGTCATTAAGTTGTTTATGATTGAGAATATATGTGTAACGGTAATGTAACGGTAAATGTAACGTAAATGTAACGGTATATACAATGGTTGGCCTTTGGGTCAGTTTTGATCCACTAGCTACAAAATCACCACAAAATCTACAGGCACACACATGCACACTACAACACATGCGCACAATTTAAATCTGTTGCTTAAAGTTTTTTAAATACTGTTTTTCTTTTTCTTTTTCTTTTTTACAACTGTGTACCTTTAGTAATAAAAAATACCCTTAAATTAAGTCAAAAACAAGTGTTGCTCACTGATTAAACATTGATGAAAACCTAGACATTCACAGTGTTTGTGATGAAGAAGTTGTTTCTTCAGGCAAAATAGATTTGAGTATTGAAATAAAATGTAACTTTTAGTGAAGTTGGGTCATTTTTTTAAACTGAAGGGCAAATGGATTCTAACATAACAGGAGGGTTAAGTGGTCAAGTGTAATGCTGCTGAGTAAATCTAATGGAAAAACTCCCGACTGGGCCTAATCGGGATTTGTCTGTGTGACGCAGAAGCGAAAACTCAGTCCAGTAAACAAGGGGGTGTTATCAAGCTCTGCTCAATCTTATCAACAGTCCAAGAAACCCCACTAGTGTCCTTTGACACTTGAGTCCTTTAATGTGCTAGTCAACAAGGGACTAAAGGGGACACCAGTACTTAACCAGTGCAGGTTTATCTTTCACAAGTATCCCTCTTGTCAGAGGTGGCCAATATGTTGGCCATGGCCTTCACATCATTCTAAGAAACTACTTGATCTGTCTAATAGGCATAGTTTTCAGTTATAAGACTGCGACAAAGATCTCACAAAGGAGGTCAAAGCCGTACCCGTCAACCCAGTTTTCTTCTGGGATTCTCTTTACAATTGTATTCCACTGTCATCCCGTAAAGGTGTTTTACCATATCTCTCCCATATTTTTAATCTTTATATGAAGGGTGGCAATACACATTAAAAGATGAATCCTCCCTATATGCAACACATACATCCGAACCACCAGGGGACGCCCCTTACTCTTAAATGTGAATCTGTTCTGTGCTTTTGTTTTTTTTTTTAGGCATGAAAACACTTTGAAATATATATAAAAATTGCAGGATTCCCTTACATTCCATTACAGGCGCCATTGCCCCTCATTTGCAATTTTCAAAACAGTCGGTTCATTTAGCTGAGCGCGACTGTCAGATGCGCTCTATGGTGATAAATAGACGCTGTATCCCAAACATTCTGTACACGCGATTTGAAGCAGAGCAAAGGTGGAATCGGGTTTTGGCCGCATGTTTGAACAAACATAATAATAATAATAATAATAATAATAATAATAATAATAATAACATCTAACATGCCAGTCTTGGTGGGTTTTCTTTTAAAAACAACAAATTCTGTCTTAAAAAGCATAAAAAGTGAGGAAAGCAATCGAACGCTTTCATTATAAATGTGTGCATTTTTAAATGGACAAAGTAAACAAACAAAAAATCTAAATGAAAGCTTCATTCACTGCTCTTTAATCAGAATATTTACATTATACAGTTAAGGTAAAAGGTTAATGAGATTTGATAACTTAATTCAATTTCTTTATAACAGATTTATAATAAACTGTTTGCTAATATATTTAAAGCTTTTTCTAATGTTTACTATTTATTTTATCCTTTGGAAATAATAATAATAATAATAATAATAATAATAATAATAATAATAATAATAATAATAATAATAACAAGCATATTACAGATCATTCCAACTCTTTTTTTACTATAAAAAAGCTCCAGATAGACATATATATTAATTTGGAGGATATTTTTTGGGAGGGTGCAGAGATGGGGGTGGTTATGCCTTATTTTTTACATCCCAATGTTATATAGTCAAAACATCCATGAAACTGCATCACAGACCTTCATATTTTGGGCACTTGCAATATATAAACAGTGCCATTTACTAAAATAATACGAAATGTTTTATGTATATGCAAATGTTCATGAATATGCAAATGTTTAAGCATATTAATCATTTTCCTTAGAGTGTTTTTTTTAAATGGAACACTCAATTTTGCAGGTTGCATTCATAATCTACGCTAAAGATGCTTGCTATCAATAAGGAGTAAACTGAAGATATGTATGTGTATATATATATATATTATTTTTTTATATATTTTTTATATATTTTATTTTATTAAAGTTTAAATCATTTTTCTTTGCTTTTTACATTTAAACTGTTAGTGTAATTCTTTATCTTGTTTTTTTAAACCCTCAATTAATTTGTAATTAAAAAGCAGAACTACATTGGATTGTAACAGGTATCTTCATTTATGAATTGTTCTTTATGCCCGATTCACACAGGGCTTCAGCATCAATGCTTGACAAAGGGTGTGTCTGAAGCTGGGGCTGAAGCAATAATCATGGCAGCGTCAGCCAATAAAATTAGTCTGCAAACGTCTACTGTCCGTGCAGGTTGATTTGCATAAAGCAATAGATTGGCTGATGCATCCATTGGCACTTGGAAAGTTGAGAAATTCCCAACTTCTCAATCGAGCAATGTTGCTGAATCGGCACCGACGGATCCACAATGCAGTTCGGCAACACCTGATTAAAGTGAATGGGAATCAATTTGGGCATTACTGGTGTCACGGTGCAAGATGGTTGCTTGTTTGAGTCATAGATGGGCCAGTTGGCATTTCTGTGTGGAGTTTGTTCTCCCCGTGTTTCCTCCGGGTGCTGCAGTTTCCCCCACAGTCCAAAGACATGCTATGAGCGAATAACAAAATTGTCCGTAGTGTGTGTGAATGAGTGTGTATAGGTGTTTCCCTGGGTTGTGGCTAGAAAGGGCATCCGCTATGTAAAACATATGCTGGAATAGTTGGCGGTTCATTCTGCTGGGACAGATTAATAAAGGCACTAAGCAAAAAAGAAAATGAATTGGAATGAAATTGGTTCATTCCGCTGTGGCAGAAACAGAGATTATGCCAAAGGAAAATGAACGAATGGATGAATGAATTGTTCTCTACAAGGTTTTATCAGACATGAAAGATGTGCTCTTGTGTGATGAGTGGACACAGCTCACAAGCAAAGACATGTTCAGGGTGTAATATAGATTGCCACCTACAGACACCATACTACGTCATGCCTCCCCATCACTTTCCACACACTGTCATGATGGATCAGGTAAAGCTAAATGACTTACAATTGGAGGAGAGAGAGCAAAAGGTGGAAAAAAGGGAACACTATTGGACGTACGAAGGATAAATTAATGAAATGTCAATGGAAGTACAATTTTAGCCTCTCAACCAACCAGCCCCAACTGTGAGGTATAAATGAAAGCAGCATAATTACCCAATGTCACTACAGAAATCCTTTTAAACTATTAACAAGAGGAACATCGACTGAGAAATACTGAGACAGAGAATGAGGAAGAAAAGAAAAAAAAAAAAGACTGAGCAAATTCAATTTGATTCTGGTTCATGACTCACACGCTGCAACTAAGTCAACCTGCTCACCGGCATCAGCTTGGCACATTAATGATGCCTAAAGCTATCAGGACGAGAGCCATTACGCTTATTACGTCCAAGACAGATTCATCTGAAGACACTAGACATGGAGGGCAATTTCCTTCTTTGTCAGTACACTCTGCGCCGTGTGTGTGTGTGATTCAGCGGGTTGTAAGCATTACACCCAATTCAGATGACGTTTCAGTTTGACTGCCTGGACGCTACATCTACCGAACAGCACTTTTTTCTGTTTTCAGATCTCTAATTTTATCCACATTGACGTCATTGCTAGCGGAGGTCAGCACAACTGGTGTCAGCGCTATTGTGATTATTGAAGGTTTGGGAACATTACAGGAATTATACACTGGAGAAGCGTGTGCTTTTTAAAATGACTGACAGACTAGGTTTTTAAAAGATGGGTCATGTAGTTCTTGGTGAGTTTGTCCCTTCTTACTCAACACAGCTATTGCTCAACAGGTGGAAGAGTAGGATACACGAACCATTGATGGGGGTGAGTTTCCAGGTGCGGCGGACAGTGGCATCACTGCGGAGGGAGAAGTTGAGCCTTCCTCCATGCTGAGGGCCATCACTGTCCCGAGAGGCCAGAACCAGAGCCTGATCCTCCCAGCGAGGTGTGCACAGGTACTTCCAGGAATAATCGCCCACCAGAACCGGGCTGTTGTCATTCACATCCAGAATGTGTACAGTCACCAGTGTGGAGGCGGACAGAGAGGAGTTACCTAGAGGAGACAGTAGATGAAGAAATATCAATCATTTGTGGTGAGACTATCTTAAGGTGTCCATGCAACACTTGTTCCATGAATTTACTTGTGGTCCACTATGGCAGGGGTTCTCAACCTTTTTCACTTCAAGGCCCACCTTTTTCTCAGAATATTTTTTTAAAGGCCCAAACTGGTTGTCTAGAGAAAATGCTTATTTTAAAGCTGTATTTATTAGCAAAACATTTATTTTGCCTTCTATTGTTCTTTTATTTTGCTACATAGTTTTATATAAAAAAACCTGAAACATTAGGCATGTAACTAAAAATGTCTTTTTATAAGCAGCAGTAGTTCCCGCTTTTGCTTTAACCATTCTTTGAACAGATTATAGGCCTAACTTTAACTGTGGGTGCATGATAATCCATTCATTATCACACACAGTGTTTTTCACCTGCTTTATTTTGCTTACAGTTATTTTTAAAATATGTTTTAATAATCATGGGATACTTATCATTGCTTTAATAGGAGATTAACTTCCCATTCATGTGTAGTTGGTGATCTGAGAACTAAAGATTACAGTGAATAATTTTTTATACATGACAATAATTATTTTTTAAATGTCATTTTTTTAAAGAAAGGTTTTGTTGAGTAAAAGAGCATGTATACAGCTATATTTTGCTTGTTTTGACAATTTAGCCTACAATTCACCTGTACCGCATGTCTTTGGAATGTGGGGGAAACCGGAGCACCCGGAGGAAACCCACGCGAAGGCAGGGAGAACATGCAAACTCCACACAGAAACACCAACTGAGTCGAGGTTCGAACCAGCGACCTAGCGACCTTCTTGCTGTGAGGTGACAGCACTACCTACTGCGCCACTGCCTCGTCATATATGTGTGTGTGTGTGTGTGTATGATAGATTAGATAGATAGATAGATAGATAGATAGATAGATAGATAGATAGATAGATAGATAGATAGATAGATAGATAGATAGATAGATAGATATACACTTTTTGTTATGTCCAATCTTTCTTCCAACAATTTTTAACCTTGAAAGTTCGAAAATGTATATTTTGTTAACATATTTATGTTAAACGTTATATATTTTCTGTGTTGGTGTTGCATATTACTGTACAACAACCTTAGCAGTAATAAACTACCTGTACATTTTCTGTTATTTTACAGACTTACTTATTTATATATTATTTCCTATCCGATACATTATTTAAAACTACTAAAATGTCAATTGAAGTCACTTTGTTAAACTGTAGAGTTGAATTTTCAACATCAAAACCCAACAGAGCAGAGATCAAGGTCCGATAATGCAATTCACAACTGTAAATGAACAGAAAACAACAATTGTAAATCACAATACGGAAACTGTTTATTAACAAATATTTTTACAGTGTAGTTGTGCACTGTCATACACTAGTCATGTATGAACTAATAATGAGCAATACCTGTGCAACATCTATTAATCATTGTGAACTGTTAAAATGTCTAATTGTTAAACTCGTGCTAGTTACAAATGAAACATTAACAAATGTCTGTATTTTTATTGACTGATATTGACAAAGGTGAATAAATAGTGTAATAAATGTATTGTTGATTGTTTATCAATGTTAGAATACATTAATTATCTATTAACTAATAGAACATTATTGTAAAATGTTACCACACATTTTCTATACTTAGTATATTGCTACATATTTTTACCATATACAGTGCTCAGCATACATGAGTATATCCCTTTTCAATCATTCATTCATTCATTCATTCATTCATTCATTCATTCATTCATTCATTCATTCATTCATTTATTCATTCATTCATTCATGTTTCTTCAGCTTAGTCTCCACTTCAGAGGTTGCCACAGCAAAATAAAACACCAACTATTCCAGGATATGTTTTACTCAACTCAACTCAATGTATTTCTAGAACTTTCAACAAACCACAATGAGTACCAAAGGGCTGTACATAAAAATACTTAAAACACAAGCAACAAGTTAAAGATAAATATTTTCTAATAAATCTATTTATTTTACTAGCAAAATTTTTTATACATAAATGCAAATTTTTGTCTGTAAAGCCCCTTTTTCTTATTTCCAGCAATGTTAAAGCTTTAAAATCCGTAATACTATGAGAATCTTATTCTCTCTTTTTTATAATAGATGACTGTATTGTATGTGATCTTGTAAACATCACTGTGACCTTGCTTTAAATTTAAAGTGCTTTTTGTAATTTATATTCCCCCTGGCATATTCTTTAGTTTGTCATTTTGTTTTGTTCTGTTCTTTACCTTTGTTGTTAAAGGTTTTGTACCTTTTCTGTACATTTTTGTATTCTTGTTGAACGCTTTAAAAAAAAAAAAAAAAAAAAAACACAAAACCAAAATACATAAACTCACAACACATGATTAAAAGCTTAAGAAAATAAGTGTTTTTTCAGTGACCTCTGAAAAGACTCAAAAGTTGAAGGTGTTCTTAAGGAGAGTGGAAGATTGTTTTAGAGTTTTGGAGCTGCAACTGAAAAAGCTCTATCACCTTGACATTTTAAGCGTGATTGTGGAACTGTCAATTAGAAACGATCCTTACATAGCAGATGCCCTTCCTGCTGCAACCCAGTACTGAGAAACACCCATACACTCTCACATTCACACATACACACACTCATACACTGCAGCCAATTTAGCCTACCCAATTCAGCTATAGCGCATGTCTTTGAACTGTGGGGGAAACCGGAGCACCCGGAGGAAACTCACGCTAACACGGGGAGAACATGCAAACTCCACACAGAAATGCCAACTGACCCAAGCCTGCACTCAAACCGGTAACCTTCTTGCTGTGAGGTGACAGTGCTAACCACTGAGCCACCTTGCTGCACACACTCCCTTTCGAATTTTAATTTTTTATACATTTCTATTTTACTAATTTCACAAACTAATTAATTCACAATTTTTTTGTGCATTTAAACAAAATAGTTTTATCAATGAGTTCTATCCATTAAAATAAGAGTTCGATCACCCAAAGAAGTTATTGCAAAAAATACAAAATACAATAATATAATTACAAACCACAGAATATCAGTTGAATTTTATGTTATTTTTTATGTTTCACTTGATTTTTCCGCTATGTAACATTTTAATATTTTTTTCTCACAACATATTAATATGGGTGCACTAATTTTTGGTAGAAGGTAGATTTTTCTGATGACTCATCTGTTGAACTGCATCCTAATCATCACAAATACTGCAGAAGACCTATTGGAACCCGCATGGACCCAAGATTTCCACAGATATCAGTCAAGTTTGGTGAAGGAAAAGTCATGGTTTGGGGTTACATTCAGTATGGGGAGCGTGCGAGAGATCTGCAAAGTGGATGACAACATCAACAAGATATCAAGACATTTATACTGCCTATTTCATTACAAACCACAGGACAGGGCAAATTCTTCAGCAAGATAGTGCTCCTCATACTTCAGTCTCCACATCAACGTTCCTGAAAGCAAAGAAGGTCAAGGTGCTCCAGGATTGGCCAGCCCAGTCACCAGATATGAACATTATTGAGCATGTCTGGAGTAAGATGAAGGAGGAGGCACTAAACAGATGAATCCAAAGAATCTTGATGAACTCTGGGAGTCCTGCAAGAACGCTTTCTTTGTCATTCCAGAGGACCTTATTAATAAGTTATTTGAGTCATTGCGGAGATGTATGGATACAGTCCTCCAAGCTCTTGGGAGTCATACACGATATTATTTATATTTCCACTGCACCATGCCTCATATTCTATACTCTACATTATTTTTGTTAAGAGACAAGACTTTTGTCTAAGCAAAGTCAGACCTTACTGTCCTAATTAAATAATTAATGATCAAAGCATGATCATATTTTATTTTGGTAAAATAAGCTTAATCTAGAGGCATTTGCCTTTGATATAAGCCACTTCTAATATCAATGATTAACCTGAAGTCAAATTATTATTTGTTGTTCCTAAAACTTGGATAGCCAACAAGACTTTTATCAGGTAGTGTAAACATTAATGTTGAGTACTGTATAATTTTTAGCAGTTTTATTTATTTATTTATTTATTTTTTGTAGAAAAATAAAAGACAAACCAGATTTAAATAGTTAAATGTAATTTTAAAACTGTCTTAAAACTGTAAAATGGTCTGTAAACCAATTCTAAAGGGCAAATGTTGCAATTTGAAGTAAAAATACATCTCTGCCCCTGCTGACTATTGTTTCTGCTAAATTTCACTGCTTTTAAAATACATTTCTGAAAAGTGTGTGGTGTAATTTATTTCCTTCAGCCTTTGTAACCCTCTCTGTCTATTTTTATCAATCTTTCTTCTGCCCAGAGTGCAATAAAGTTCTTGAAGGTTAACATATAGAAGCATGTGTATTATTTTTCTATTTCATCTACAGTGTCTTCATTTCTCTGTCCTCCCTCTCATTTTCGACCCTGCTTCAACACTCGAGACCACGCATAAGACAGGGAATAGTGAGTCATATCTCTTGTTCTCGTCTCATCTCTCTGCTTTCGTTCTCCCCCATAAACATTTGTGACTGTGCATTCTGGACTGATTTCTCTTCTAAGAACGGCAAACGTAATTGGAGTGTGAACTGAATGACCTTCACACCTCAAGTCTCTGATCTGCTCCCTGCCTTCAGGTATAAGGAGGAACTCAGTGCCACACACAGACAGATACACAGACACACAGACACACACACACAGACACACACACACACACACACACACACACAGACACACAGACACACACACACACACACACACACACACACACACACACACACACACACACACACACACACACACACACACACACACACACACACACACACACACACACACACACAGATGTTGGTTTAGATATGTTACGGGGACGTGCAATGCATTTTTTTTTTTTACAATAAAACACCGTACACCACCCCTACCTCTAAACCCAACCCTCACAGCACACCTGTGACAACTTTGAGTGTCAAAAGGCCCTGTTAAGTATGATTTTTAATCATTTTGAATTATGAGGACAAAAGGCATGTCCTCATTAATCACCTCAATAGAGTGCAACTATGTCATACACATATCATTATACACATTTCTGTCCTTACAAACCACCAAAACCAGAACACAAACATAAACATGCATACAAGACCCACACATGTCGGGTATCCATGTAATAAAGGTGGAGTTTCTAAATACATCATGCTTATTATATTGCATTTGAAACAGACTGTATATTCTTATCCCAAACCAACAGAAAACTTTCTGAACTCAAAATACTGTATTCATGCAGTTTAAATAAGGCTAAATTAATTATCAAGGCAAAATTTTTAGCCCTGCTGTGGTTATTTTTTCTTTTTCAAATATGTCCCTAGTGATGTTTAACCCAGGACAAAATAAGTAAATAAATAAATAAATACACAAAAATGTATGAATAAATAAGTAAATAAATAAATACACAAAATAAATAAAAAATAAATACACAAAATAATTAAATTAAAAAAATACATAAAAACACAATATAAATAAATAAATACACAAAATCAATCAATAAATAAATACACAAAATAATTAAACAAATGAATAAATACATACAAAATTTAAAAAATAATAAAATAAATAAATAAATAAATAAATAAATAAATAAATAAATAAATAAATAAATAAATAAATAAATATAAAGTTGACATCAGTGTTGGGCAATAATGCGTTACTAATAATGCCTTTCTTACAACGAAGACGCATTGAGGGATTGGTGGATGGCAACCGATCACCGTAAAGAAGACGTGTCGTGTATGAGGCGCCAGACTGGACAAAAGACAGAGTGCATGCAAAAGAGGCCAAATGTGCTCGAGAGATAAATATGTTTTACATACTTTTATAGCTGTTATACAAAAACAGATTTTGTACTTTGAATACACAGCTTACTTTACATAAGCTGCTGACATACCACGTTTAATTTGAGGGTAGTTTGATAATTGCATATCGATTTAATAAATATTAATAGCTAGAAGCAGTGTTAGGCAATAACGCGTTATTAGTACTGTGTTACTGTAACGCATTACTTTTGATAGTAACTAATACTGTAACATACTACTTCTTAAATATTGTAACTCCATTATCGTTACAATATGATGCCTTTGTCTGTTACTTAGTAAGTTAGTACACTCTCAAAAATAAAGGTACTCGAGCTGTCACTGGGGTGGTACCTTTTCAAAAGCTATACATTTGTACCGATACCGAAAGGATTCATATTAATACCTCAAGGGTACACATCAGTACCTAAAAAATACAAAAGTGTACCTCTTAAAATTTTTAAGTACAAATAAATGTTTTTTGAGGTACCAATATGGACCCTTTAAGTACAAATCTGTATCTTTTGAAAAGGTACTACCCCAGTGACAGTTCTTGTACCTTTATTTCTGAGAGTGTAAGGCTGCAGTCTAGCCTACATCTTCCTGTTTACAGCGACATTTCTGGGATTGATGGATGCCAACCAACTACGATAAAGAAGATGCATCGTGTATAAGGCACCAGACTGAACAAAAGTCAAGAGAAAGCAGAGACCAAATGCGCACGAGGTAGACTGAGTGTGTGTGTGTGTATGAGAGAGACTGAGTGCACACAAGAGAGACTGTGCTGTTATGTTTTTGTTTGTTTAAAATGCATAACATGTATGATCATACAGATTACTTTATTTGATAAAGGTTTTGTGTTTGTTGTATATTGTTGCTAGGTTTCATACTCAAGCTGTAAGAGAACATGTTTACGGGTTAAATACAAACTTTCATGAGGCTAAAGCAAATTTAGTTTTTGCTTTTTTGTTTCTGATTAATCTGATTAATTATAATAATAATAATTTGGTTTCTGGTTCATCACCCTGTTTTTTTTTCATTTTTGTGCTGCTGGTCTGACTTAAATAAATTAGTGTTAAAAAACGACTTTTTGTTTAACTCTGTCTTGTGTTTTAGTTGTAAGAATGCAAATTAACTAAAACTGTAAAGTGATTCAACAGTGTACACTCCATGCAGCACTGAAAGGACGTTATAAGACCATTAATGGGAGCATTAAAAATGTTCTGTGGGAAAAATCAAAAATTACTTTTAACAGTAACGCGTTACTTTTGGTGTAAGTAATAGATAAAGTAATTGAGTTACTGTAACTATAACTAGTTACTATTTTTCAGTAACTAGCACAACACTTGTTAACATGCACCAATTGACCTAGATAAGCCTTTAAATTGCACTTCAAGCTGAATACTAGTATCTTGCAAAATGCATTCATTCAATCATTTTTTATTTGGCTTGGTCTCTTTATTAATCTGTGTTCGCCACAGTGGGATGAACCGCCAGCTTATCCAGCATACGTTCTTACGCAGCGCTTGCCCTTCCAGCCGCAACCCATCTCTGGGAAACATCCATACATACTCATTCACACTGACAGGGCTAAACATATAGTCTTCAACTGTATTGTATCAGCCATCTTTTTCATGGGGATCAAAAATGTCCCCACAAGGTATAAGAAGAATTGTATCAATGTAATCTAGGTCCCCGCCATGTGATAAATACCATGTTTACACACACGCACGCACGCACGCACGCACGCACGCACGCACGCACGCACGCACGCACGCACGCACGCACGCACGCACACACACACACACACACACACACACACACACACACACACACACACACACACACACACACACACACACACACACACACACACACACACACACACACACACACACACAGCATCTCAGCTGGTGACTCATTCACTGCCAGTTATAATGTCTGAGATTTTTCTCAAGGCGTGTGGACGTGGCCCAGAATTTTCAATGAGATTTGATCGTGAATAGAGGCTGTCACAGCATCTTGAAATGTCAAGTGTCTCTGCAGCACTGCTGATTTTGAAAAAGAGAAAGCTGAGGGATGTTGATTTTCCCAGATGTCTCGCACTGAAAGCATCTTCTTCTTGTACTTGCTCTGTGTAACAACTTTGGTTTGATGAACACATTTTCTCAAACAAACAACATGAATTGACAGACCTTCCAGAGAGAGAAGAGAAGTAAAAAAGTATGTCTTACGGCCATCTTCTGCCACCACCTCCATGGTGTAGGTGTGGTTCTCCTCTCTGTCCAAAGCCTGGACTGTCTTGAGCTCTCCTGAATACTTCCCGATAGAGAAATACCTCTTAGTGTCTCCTCTCAGCGAATACCTGAAGAAAGGCGAGTAAGAGTTTGGGTCACGTCATTTTGTTTTAAAGGAATCAAGCTATTCAAATATTAAAAACATATACAAATAAAACTATTAAATTGTTAGACTTCCAGTAAAATTACTTTTTACACTATTAATTCAAATCCTATAGTGAATATTCAACACAATGTTTACCTACTACATAATATTATACTGACACAATAGTTAGTGATATTAATAACCCAACAGTTTTAAAGGTTCAAGACACCACTGAGTACTTTTTTTTTAAAAGATTTTAACTGATTTGTGTGTGTTGAGCATCTGATCAGATAATGTTAGCACCCCTCAGCTTTAAATGTGGGAAAAAAATTATAATTTTATACTTTTGTCAGCTAATTCCATCTTCCGGGTTTAAAATAGTTATTGTGGCGGGATCAAAATTGGTGACATAGCGCCAGGCCCGGATTAAGAACTCAGGGGCCCCTGGGCACATTGTCTTGTAAGGCCCCCTACCTGGCCGCACCCCTATAGTTGAATTTAAAAAATAAGAATAATATAATAATTTTTAAATAAAATGAATCTATAATTTGTTGCCCACATATTTAAATAAATTATATATAGTACATATGTATTTATAGTCTGCAAAGATTTAAATTATTTTTCAAAGCATTAAATAAAAATACTAATAAAACTACACATATACATATATATATATATATATATATATATATATATATATAATTATTTTTTTAAGGGTATTTTAGTGTATTGCTTTTACAAACTTATAAAGCATATTATTGCCATGGCATATAACGCACAATGCTTCTCCAATCCAGTTCTATGAATCTGAGTTCTATGAATCTGAGTTCTATGAATCTGAGTCTTTCATAATACAAACACTAATTTACTGTCTCTCTCCTCCTCTCCCTGTATTTTCTCTACTCTTCTCGTGATAAAGACTTGATTATAAACCTAAAAGTATCCAAAATCACAGACACTATACCTCTTCTCTCCCCTCTTTCTCCTCTTCTGGGCTTTTCTCTCTCTCTCCCTCTCTCTCTCCCTTTCTGTCTGTCTCTCACACGATGAATCCAGTCCGCGCTGCGCTGCCGTTAGCCTCCTCCGCCTGGTTAATGCTAGCTACTCATCATTTAAAGTTAACGTCTTCTTCTGTACCCTCATTCTCCTGATCACGGGTCTGTTTAAAAAAGGTGTGTATGGAAAATGCCTCAATAAAGATCTCTCCTCCTCTCCTCTTTCTCTCGCGTTTGCTAAATCCACTTGTCCACTCATTTTTGATCCATGACAGATATAATGTTAGACTAAAGTCTGCTCAGTTTAGTGCGGGTTATTACAAAACTGACGTTTCCGCACTTGACCAATTACAGCATTCTGTTTAGTTAAAGAAAGGCAATTTAAATATAATAATAATATTAATATGTGATCGCGATTTTTTTGCTCAGAGGAAATACAGTTGTCTGAGCAATAGAGTTTTTGAAGAGAGGGAGGCGCGGCAGGCGCCTATAATAAGGCTAAACTTTATTAAATACCCATGAGACACTTGTGACTTTATATCACATTTGCATTATTTTTAAAAAATGTTTCTTTCCTGTTAAAAATAAATATATTTCCAATCTGATATGTAATGGGGAGAAAAAAAGTAGCACGAGTTCAACTGATGGTGGATTCGAACCGATGTTATGATTAATCGCGTCAAAAGATGATGCCGTGTGCCTAACAAGGTGCGCCACTGCGGCTGTATTAACGCTACTTCCCTGCTGTTTACTCATCTTGTCTCTATCAATCAGGATCCGATGGGCGTAAACCCTGAATAGCTTAGTCCAACTAGATGCGCTATTTGCAATTAGCCTAAAAAGACACTCCGAAATTGTCTTTTTTTCTCCCCCCTCGCAGGGGCCCCTAGTGCGCACGGGCCCCTGGGCCTGTGCCCATAAGGCCCATTGGTTAATCCGGCCCTGCATAGCGCCAATCAGCCAGTCCAGTGATGATGTGTCGGTTTTCCATTATTATTCATAGTGGAGTTTTCTTATCCAATTAAAAGACTCTGCTACTTGATTACTCATGAATGCACGTGCTTTTCAATGACAGACCCATATGGACAGACCTGTTAAGCTGTGAGATGGAGGGTCATACAGTATGTGTTTGTTTCCATGATCCACAGGGTTTCATGTTTGTCCCGCAATGTCAGGGCCGATCCAGCCAATCTGCAGCAAGCATTTTTGTCGAGAGAGCTGTAGAATGGCGGACTTTGTGCTTTATCAGTTGAGTTTATTACCATTCAGACAAATTGCTGTGCTGCTGTGTTCGCACATGTTTTAAATCCTCCAGATTTACCGAAATACATAAGGTAAGAGACCAGCTGTAGTCCACTGTGACTCTCTGCATTCAGACCAGGGGCTTCTGGAGGAAAATGCTCCTCATTTATAGTGTTTATATTCTGAAGTGGACTTGAACTGAAAGAGAGCAGTCTCATGATACTTTAATAACTTATTTCTAATTACTAATTGATTTTGTTTTTGGCATGGTGACAATACATACTAGTTTATTAGTTATTTTGCAAAATAATATTGTTCAACTTAACGTGCAATTTAAAGGTTTAACTATGTTATTTAGGTTAACTAGGCAAGTTGGATGTAAATAAGCAATTCATTGAACAGCAGTGATGCAAAAAAAAAAAAGTAAAAAAAAAAAAAAATATATATATATATATATTAAGGGGACCAAAAACATTGACACAAAAAAGTATTTTTTTCAAGCCTAACTAAAATAAATAATATATTCTTCAGAAGAAAAAAATATAATATGAATATTGTGAAAATGTCCTTGCACTATTAACATCACTTTATTGGGAAATACTTGCTTGAGAGCTAATATGATTAGCTTTAACTGTAAATCTGATCAATGGTGTGGATTTCAGTATACATTCTGAGATCAGATCTGTGCATACATCCTTCAAAAAAGGCCCCATGCATGTTTCAATAGTGTAGGTTCATTTAAGGAGAGTTTAATGTAGCAAATGTAGCAAACGTAACCAAAGCTAAATATACTGTATTTCATGTTTAAATATTAGATTGCTTTTTCTAAATTGTGCAATTAATAAATGTTTGTCAAAAGAGTAATTAAATATATACAAACTTAATAGAACTTTAAATATAACTTTATTAAATATAACATTATTAATATAACCCAAAAAATCCTGGATAAAATGCATTAGGGTTTGTACAGTGATAAAAGCAATGTGATAAAAGTTTGTTTCCTAAGCACTAAAACACTGTGTAAGATGATTTCCGAAGGATCATGTGGCCTTGAAGACCAGAGTAATCCTACTAAAAGATGAAAAAAGTAACATTTAAACATGTAGTAACTACTGTTTATAGTTGTTATTTAAAATGGTAATACTATTAATTACTATTACAATTATATATCTATTATAATAATGTTTGAATTCAATTTTATATAAAATAAATTCAATTAATGAAACCTTGAAACAGCTTGATTGGAATTTATTTCAACAAGTAACTCTTCTTGTGACAGTCCTCTGATTTCCTGTATTAAAGACTTCCCCTGCTGTTTAGATGAGGAAGCCGAATCAGTCATCAGTCATGTCATGTTCATGAAATTATCTGGACGCATGTGAACGGCAGGACAGCACCTGCTTGTACATTGTGTCCAATCCGCAATCTGACCAGGCCACAATAGCTGATAATGACAGTATTAGTTGGCATAGAAACATTTGGCACTTTAAACGCCACTTTTACCTATGCATATTTTATTTTAGTTGTTTCAATGTCTTGTTATACATAGGGCCCTTTTGAACTTTCTTTCTTTTTTAAATATTTCCCAAATGATGTTTAACAGAGCAAATAATCATACTGATAATTGCTCCCAATTATCAGTATAATTATAGCCATATTAGCGGGTCACTAAGTATTCTCTCTAATTTTGAACTGCCCTCAGTTGATTTTATTACTAGGGAGATCATGAAGTCTAAGACCTCTACCTGCTCACTTGATCCCCTACCTACTGTTTTAGTTAAGTCTTGCATTAATTCACTATCCTCTTTTATTACATCTATAGTGTGTTCTTCACTATCAACTGCTACTGTTCCTTCATCTTTAAAAATGGCCTCTCTCACTCCAATACTCAAAAAGACTGGGGCTGATACTAATGACCTAAACAATTTTAGGCCAATTGCCAACCTTCCGTTTGTTTCAAAAATACTGGAAAGAACAGTAGCAGCTCAACTTCACTCACATCTGCTTACTAATAACATCTATGAGCACTTTCAATCTGGGTTTCGCCCTAAACACAGCACAGAAACAGCCCTCACTAAGGTTGTAAATGATCTTCTTTTAGCTGCTGATTCTGGTTACCTGTCCATACTTATTCTTTTAGATATTACTGCAGCTTTCGATACTATTAGTCATTCATTATTATTGGAACGACTGGCTTCTATAGGAATAGCTGACAACGCACTTTGCTGGTTCTCTTCCTATTTAAGTGACAGAAAACAGTTTGTGCAGATAAAAAATAGACGCTCCGATCCTTTTTCAGTCCTTCATGGTGTTCCTCAAGGGTCAGTATTGGGGCCACTTTTATTTATTATTTATATCCTACCTTTAGGTCATATATTTCGTTCTTTTGGCATACATTTTCATTTTTATGCAGACGATACACAAGTTTATATCTCCACAAAACCTACAACATCGCACCCCCCTTCTGACCTTACCAAATGTCTAAATGAGATTAATAAATGGATGACTAATAATTTCTTAAAGTTAAATGCCAGTAAAACCGAAGCCCTCTTGGTTGGCTCAAAATCTGTTTTATCCAAAGCTCAATCTTTTACCCTGTTTGTTGATAACTCCCCAGTCAATTTCTCAACCCACGTGAAAAGTCTTGGGGTTATACTGGATGGCATGCTCTCATTTAGTTCTCAAATTAGTAATATCTCACGTTCTGCCTTTTTTCATTTGCGTAACATTGCAAGACTTCGCCCTT